ATTCACAATTGACGGGGAAGCTGTTTGTTTGAACAAAAATGTGACACTCATCATCCTCATCTTGAGTAACTACAAAGAAGTTGTATGTACATCACACAAATTCAATTTAGCTAGCGCTTTTCCAATTTAAAAAAAACATCATTGTTATACAGATTGTACTAAGAAAAACATTATCCTAAAAAATAATGTTCTCAAATAATTTGAAACTAATTCAACAGCCCAACAGAAATTTTAAGTATTTAAATATTTAAAAAAAAAAGTTCGGTGTTGCACTTGTCAGGTCACCAAAGTGATTTTCAAACCTTTAGCACAATTTTGGCCATTCAATGATTATTCAAAAGTTTTGGAAAATGTCATGAAGCTATGAAACACTGTGCTTAAGGAGAATATACTTTTGACGGAATTGAAGGAATTTTTCCCAAAGATGGCCTAGAGAAAAAATACAATGCCTTATCAAGTAAATCAAGCATCAAGTAGTAATGCCTTATCAAGTAGTAATGGACATGCAACAGCAAATTTTTTTCGAACACTAACTTCAAGTAACTTCTTTGTAAAAAAAAAAATCTGTCCACTGAAAAAAGTTTTTTATTCTTTTGTCCCTGTGTATTACTACAGTCACCGAAGATAAACTCCACTTGCATTCATCTATTGGAAGAATAACTAGATGATATCTTTCTTCAACAATTGAACAGTTCATCAGGAGCCAAATTCGGGAAACCTGGAAGCATTCCGCCGAATCTCATCCAGAAATCAAGTCGGCATTCTTGTTGGGCAAGCCAGAAGACCAACAATGGCATTACTGGATTGAAAATGAGCATACAATTTTTGGCGACTTGATCATTGGCAATTTCCCAGATTATCCAGATTATCCAGCGATTAAAATAGACTCTGCCCTCGAATGGGCAGCTACCTACTGTCCCCAAGTAAGTTTATGATTTGTCATTCATTTTTCTTTAAACATCAAGCCATACAAACGCGAAGAAGAAAAACATGAAATAACATAGACTTGTAGAGCTTCTGAGCTTCAGAGCTAGAGCAACTGAAAGCCTTGCACATCACAGGAAACTCCATGATTTACAAGAGCACATTCTACGGCTTTCCGAGAATAGTCTGTCATTCTTAATCAAATTATTGTCGATATTTCAAAAATCAAAACCTGGGTCTCTTGGGAAAGCAACAAAAAACAGATATGAGACGGAATTTCGAAGTGTACCATCTTGCCGAAAATTCAAAATACTGAAGACTTGCTTAAAATTTTGTGAGAACAAATGTGCCAAGCGAAAGCAGGTGGAATAATTTCCACTGAAAAATAGATGCGTCACTTGCTGAAGGAAAAATCCCCATCAGGATTCGTGAAAATATAGTTCTGAGGACAGACAACGTTGAAGCACAACAGACGAACATCACATCAATATTTTCTATACATACTGTGCTTGACCAATATTTCCTATACAGTATTTTCAACCAGAAAAAAATGAAAGAACTTGCAGGTCTAAAAAACTGTAAAAATGCCAAACTTGTGAAAAATTCCGGAAATAATTAAAAACCAGCTCTTGTTTATTTCCCAGGTCGTTGCAGATTTTTAAATGATCAAACTTTCCAAATAATTCTGGAAAGAAGTATTAAAGCGCAGATGGGAGTGCTGAGTAAAATTATTGCAAGTATTTTTCCACGTTTGTGTCTCATTAATTATCCCATGGTGCTACGTGGGATTCTGAACCATAAACTTATTCGCCTACTCATCAGAGAACAGCATTAAATTTAACATACTGAAAAAAAAGTTGAACAAGAGATCGGTACCTTGAGTATTCAAGAACAGCTATCGTGAGATGAAGCTGATCTAATTTGGAAGGAAGTCTTATTTTTACCTGTATTGCAGGTTCACACAGAATTTTGAAGCTAGCAATATTGATAGCAACTTTTAACGTTAGAATTACTGTCAGAAAATCCGGTGATTTACTTTGATCCATTATTTTTCAGGCAAACTTGCTGATGGAAGTCCCTGACCATGTTAGTGTCAACGTAACCAAGCTATTGGAAACCTTCAATACATTGGAAACTTCGAAGGACACAATATTTCATCTTACAATGAAGATTCCTCCATCACAAAATTATGTATTCCAATTTCCCAGAGTTTTCAACAAAAGTGAACGAAATATTTACCTTGAAGAAGAATCCAGAGCTTTCATTTCAAAAAAGGATACATTTCAAAAACTCTACGGCGCATTTAAGGAGAATCTTGGGCAAAGAAGAAGTCGCAATTTCTTCTCGAAAATAGTACATAAATTGCTTGATTTTAAAATAGTCCCTTTGCCAGATATCATTTTTTGATGTGTGCGAATTTTTAAGAAAAAAAGGATTGGATATTGAATGACGAAGTGAATGAATTTAAGCTTACAAATAATTAAATACAAATTCAGGGTGAAAGAGGTCAAACTCAATTGGAACAAATAACAAACCTTTCACTGGGGCTTATTCAAAACATTTTGATAAATTAAATTTTCAATAATATCTCTGATGGTTTCCTTAAATCTTTGGAAATGAAAGAAATGTTTCCAGAAAAAATTCATGATTATAATATGAACTCATATTTTTAAAAATCGTATGTATTTAAAAAACATTTGATAAATAAAAAATATTTTGTTATGAACAATGTTTGCATATGAATTATTCGAATTTTTATTCACTCACCGTCTCGGAAACAGAATGAGAATTAGATCCTGAAAATGACCCCAAAATAAAGAGAAAATTTTCTGCTAAAAAGTGTTGTCAAAAATTTAATCCAGATTGGCTCCAAGACGTGAATGATTTTTCTAAAATAAAAAAACAATCCACTATCAACAATTTTCTTGATTCCCATCATTCAACTCGTTAATTCAAGTCATCTAACCGATCCCGCACCATGGCTTTAGTGCCAATCAAATCTTCAAATGCCACATTTAAGATCCTGAGCGTTGTAGTGAACTAGCATTTGGAAGGACAAAATCGGTTACGCCTTGGATGAATCCAGCCAGTTAAATTCGCAATAGGCTGACAGAAATCTTCAGATTTCTAGACACGCCCTCTAAAAGAAGCATATTCACGTGAGTGTATAATAAATCTTCAATGAAATTGACACTCATTGGAATCGTGACAGTTTCCGGAGTATACTTGCTCAGCATGTGTGTGTTCGCAGCGATTTTGTCGGACGTAGATGGAAACTACGGATCGTTCAAGGGTGAGATTGCAGAAGAAATGGAAAATCGTCAGCCATTCTGAATGATGAAAATTTTCACAGAACGCTTTTATCATGTACAGTACTAAAGAATAAAAATAGAAAAAATCGGAATGGACTTTTTCTAACAACTAATAACACATGCCGAGTTCGAATTCAAATTACAGCATCCTTCAACTGAAGGATTTTTAGAAATCCGTTCTGCAATAAATAAACCCAAATTGTTTACATTTTTGAAGAAATACAATTCTAGAGCACTTCTGAAAACCAGGGAAAAAAAAATAATTCAGCAGTTCGCCGTGAATTCATGAAAAAATTAAATAAACGTGGTTTTGGGCACATGAATGGAAAATTTCCTGCGATAATTTCGTAAAATAAAAGTTCGACTGTTTCAATCATTTTCTACGCATTTCTTTGGAAATATTTTCCAAAGAAGCATTTCATTTGGAACAGCAAACATGCCTTCATTAAATCGCTCAACGTTGACGAAAGCGCACAAAAACCGATTTCAAAAATCATCGCAATCGTTTAACAGAATATTTTTCGGTGGGCTTAAACATTTCAAGGAGTGAAGGTTCGAGATCTTTTGAAACCAGGATTCGAAATTGAAAATTCGAAGCTGTGCTCGCCGTCAAATTCATCCATTCATTTACTACTGGTCGTCATGAGTGCACCTCAAAACTTCGTAAGTCCAGGTAGACCCTCATAATTTAAATTACACTAATCATCAACTTCGAAAAATTTTCAACAGTTACGCAGGAAGGCAATTCGAGAAACCTGGGCATCAGGAGCCACAGACCAAGTAAAAGTCGCATTTCTCACAGGAAAAGCAGAAGACCCCGTCGTCGATTTTCAGCTGCAACAAGAACATCGCATACATCAAGACATAATCAAAGTAAACTTCCTCGACGTATACACATCATTATCTCTCAAATCAGCCTCAATGCTTAACTGGGTCCACACTTTTTGCAAAAACGTGAGTATTGTACGGATAAACATTTAATCAGATACAAATGAAATAATGTCCTTTATGAAACGATCCAGGCGCAGTTTGCGATAAAGGTCGACGAGGACATGATGGTGAATGTCAAAAGAATGTCAAGTTACTTCCAAGCTCAGGAAAATGCTTCCAAAACAATTTATTGTCGAGTGAAGCCGGCAGGAAACAAGGTTATCAGGTGAAACATTTAAAAAGCTGCCACTTCGTGAGAATTCCTGAGGTAAATAGAGAAGATCAGAGAGAACATCTTTCTGTGTCAAAAATTGAGCGGAAGAAAATTGCATTTCTAAATTTTCTAAAGCGAATCAAGTCCCATTAGCATTTTTCGTGCTCGTAACAATTGAAATTCCGTTAGAGACAATTTTAAACGGAAACTCATTCCCTGGAACATTCATCATAAATTATTGTTTGTACTGTAGCTCCAACGGAAATTAAATAACGCAGACGTCGCAAAAATATTTGCACAAGGCGTTCCAATACTGTCAGCTATCCAGAAAAATTATCAAAATTCAGCGTGTAGTTCAGGGGCTAGGAAAAATAATCCATCATTGAAATAGACGGAAAATAAATGAATTTTCAGCCAGCGAAAGAGGCAATCCGAATTTCTACGACGTGATTTTTCTCCTTTAGTCCTTTCCCTCAATATATTACTGGAAATACGCAGAAAATCACGAAATTCAACCAGTATGCGAGAGAGTAACTTCCTCCCTCGCGTTTAATGCTCAAAACGCGAACCAAAACCCCATTTCAACGCGTAGAAGTACAATTTATGCACAATACATTACCGTCAACGAATTTTTCATGTCCCCAGTTCACGTATCTCATTTACAGTAAATCCTCCGCACTCGATACATAACCCATCGAACCAGTCCGTAGCATGTCAATATTTATTCTGGTCTCCCAAAATTCTCGCAAGGAATTCTACCGGTATTCTCCCGTCCCGGAGTCTTGAAAGGCTACGCGGACACTCCAAAATATTGCAGAACATGAGTAGAATTGAATTTCGAAAGGGTTTAAAACGGCGGAATCCTAATTGAAATTCGCACATGAAGAGGAATGGCATAATCTCAAGGATATTGGGCTGTGAGAAATATACTAGCACTGCAGTACTTTGCCTGTGACCCGCAGTCGAGGGCTTCAAGAATAATTTGCCTGAATGGTTCCGAAAATAAAAGTCAACAAGGGCTTCCCCAAAGACAAAAAAGAAGGTCGGAACCCGCTTTCGGGTAATGATCATGATTTTCTCGACTCTAGCATCGATCAGACTTCAATTTTTACTCATTCCGCAGAAGCCTCTCCAGTCAAAATATGTTCATAACCAAAATAAATAAATTAAATTGAAAATTTGAGTAAAATACTTTGCCTACACGGCTTCGTCATCGAAATAAATAAAAAATGAGCTACGCAGATAGATAAAACAAAATGTCTGAAAACTCTGTCAGAGTAATGATGTACTGTATTTTTCAACTGAAATAATAAGCAGAGCTTCACTTATGTTGATTCCCACGAGACCTCAAGGCAAAATATAACTGTAACCCCACAGAAACAATATATATATAAAATAATTCGCTTGAAAGACTCCGTCATCAAAATAAACAACAAAATTAGCTTTTCGAATACAGTACTATCGATAAAAATGAGGCTTTACAGCCCCTTCAGAAAAATGATGATTTTCAATTGTAATACAGTATAGTAATAATAACTTCGCTTGTGCTGGATTCCTTCGAGACCTCAAGGCAAAATTCATTCGTAACCAAAAATAAAAATATACAAAATAGTTTGCCTGAACGATTTCGTCATGGAAATTAATCTTGAAACCCCCTTTCAGAGTAATGATGATTCATTTTTCACAGTATAATTATTTAGAACTAAACGAAGACCTCCAGCAGAAATATATGCGTACCGAAAAATAAATGCATAAATATTTATGAAATAGTTAGCCTGAACGACTCCGTCATGCAAATACATTCCAAAAAAGGGCTCCTTTTCGAGGAATTCTTCTCAAGAGTACGGTAATGATGACCCATAGTTTATTCCTCAATATTACTGTAGATCAGAACCTTCATGTTCGCTGATCTCCACAGAGACCGCAAATCAAAATACTTCGTACCCTCATCCATGTACCCCAACGATGTGTACCCAGAATACTGCGCAGGGCCAGCATACGCAATCACTTCCGACGCGATAACCGAGCTTTGGCATCAAGTGATGGACGAGCAATTCGTCTGGATGGAGGACTTCCTCATCACGGGCCTGGCGGCAGGGAACCTTGGGCTTCGACTCGTCGATAACGACGACTTCGTTGCCCAAAGCCCAAAGAACCCGAGGCGGGAAGAGGTCCTGAATTACTTGGTATACTATGGACGAAGTCACGAGTGCATGCGTCTTCTGTGGAACGAACACGTCAAGGCTGAACGAAGGGGTTTCCTCCGAAAGTGATGAATAAAAAGAGGGGGCATTCAGGATTGACCTGTTTTCATTTTTTCCCCTTTTTTCTTCCGGGAATCGAATCTTCGATCAACATTACAAGGGTACAGTATTTACTACTCCAATGGAAGACGCCATCGATTTCAAGACACACAATTGAAGGCGAAACATTTTTGCCTGCGAATAAACGACACTTTCTCATTGAGCCAAATTTATATTGCTTACGCTTCAATTACCCGCTCAATCTCTTTCAAAACTTCAATTACGTATCAGTAATTCGACTACAGTGTACAGTACTTAGAATGAAAATGGTACAGAGTTTCTCAATTTAATTTTACATTTGGACAGACATAAAAAATTGCCTTGGTCATGAAAAAAAGTTGCATTTCCCTTACGTGTTCAAGGCCCAACAAATATATCAAGCCCATTTTTCAAGGCTTCTTTTATTTTATTTGAGTGATTGCGGAAATTTTCAGAAATTCTCCGAGTTCAAAATTACATTACATGACGATTCATCATTCAAAATATTTTCATCAGGACTTGACCTTCAGCGTTGCCAGGCAGTTTACAGATTTTTGAATTTAAGAGTTTTAAGGGCGATGTCGTGTAAAACTTTTGAAAAGCTAATTCTAGCGGCGATCTTGAGGATAAACAATTATCCGTTCTATCTTTTTCAATGAATTCATTGAGTCAAAAAGGATATCGAAACTGAACAAAATTATATTTCACGGAGCTAAAAAGCAAAAAAAGGGCTATAGAATTTTTTCAGGGTCGGATATCGATTTCTATAGCTATTTTTATCAGCAAGTCCGAGAATTTCTGAAAAATCTCCAGGTTCTCAGCTGTACACCACCAAAATTCAATGAAAGGCTCAGAAAATTAAAAAATGTATTCTTTCTTCCATTTATGTATTCATTTCTCGATTCGTATGAGTATGTTCTGACACTCCAGGAAAGTAATAAAAGAGTATGCATTTCAAAAATATAGAATCAAAAAGTAATTTTTTATATCCACTATACGTGTACACCGCAACTTTTTGAGCATCTTCCATCAGAAAAAATATCCAGGAGAAAGAATTTTGTTCGATCCGCAAAATCTTTGCTCTATTTTGTGGGTGGTTCACAGGCAAAGCATTTCAACTGATCATTTTTCATTGAAAAAAAGTAGAAGTTGAGCTAATTATCTCCTTCTCCTGAAAACTGCCAAGAGAAATTCAGGAGCCATAAATGCCATCCCTTGTTATCTAATTTTACGAGATCTTCGCAGTTCCAAAATATTACCAATTAATAACTACATTAACACGTAAAGGACCACATCGTAAGAAATGAGCCCATAAATCCGCTCCAGATGTAATTCAAGAGTGTCGTCGAGGCCCTTTCTGAATGACGGCGACGTGCTCACAATTACTTCCGGGAACGATTTGATGACATATTGAACTTCCTTCGAAGACAGACGAGTCAGATTGCTTCGCGTGGCTCAGAAATTTTTCCCGGTTTCCAAAGAAACATGAAATCAACAAAAATCGCTATTTGTGTCTGCACGTACTTATCTTTAATTTACTATACGACGCTTCTGACTTCTTTAAACAGTGACAGTGGCGGTTTCTACACAAAACCTCGTGAGCATTGAGACAATTTTCGAGAAATTTCCAAAGACATGCCTCAGTCACAAACAAATTATCCCGGATTCAATTCTGCTATGTAAGCATAGTTACCGTCTTTCGCAGGGAAGAAAGTCGGTGACTTGCAGATCCCAGGATACAGAATCAATAATTCCAAAATTTGCTCAGTAACTTCAGGAAAAACTGTGGAACTCTTCGTCATCATAATTAGTAAACCGAGCAATTTTGTGAGTAAAATACACGCTCTTTTTTTAAAGACTTTTTGTAATCCAGCTCATTAGTGTTCAAAATTAACATCACGGTAACGAATCATTCGTTGAATTCTATGCGCCCCCCCCAACACGTTAGATTTTGCGAGAAGTCTGCAGTTTTTTCTTGAAATTCGATAGGGCTTCCAAAGAGAAGGTCGTACTTCCAAATGCAAATAACCAGGAAATTCATACACATCATGATGGATAATTATTTTTGAAGGCTTTGCAAGTGGAAAATATCGTTCCCTAAAATTTCCATAGCAGATAAACGGTAAAAATTCTTAATTAAGTAGGAGGTTTGGAATAAAGATGAATTTCATCTGACAACTCTTCTTGCTCCAAGAATAGAAACCATGTTCTCCGCATCAAATTTCAAGGCCTAATTTTTCAGGCAGGACTTACGTATTTTTAGCACTGGTTGAATAAGTCTAGTGCTTCTTTGAAGACATGTCATTTTTATACAAATGAAAATTTTATTTTTCGAACAGCGTTTCAGAGAAGCAATTCGTGAAACTTGGGCAACGCAGGCAAATGGGTCAGGAGTGGCATACGCATTTCTCATCGGAAATCCAAATGACGAATACTTGAATGAAAAATTATCGAAGGAACATCAGAGAAACGAGGATCTTATACAAAGCAACTCGTACGACTCGTACGAAACTTTGACAATCAAATCGCTTACTCTCCTCCAATGGGTCAGCACATTCTGCAAACACGTAATACCAACGGCGAATGAAATCTCCAGCCCGAAAATGTGATCAATCGCATTATGTTTTTTTTTCAATAGGCACAATTCGTTTTGAAAGTTGACGACGATGTGATGGTCAACATTCAAAACATCTTGGATTTTCTGAGAGGACATGCAACCGCCACAAGAATGATCTTCTGCACTGTGCGACCAATGGGTCAGCCCGTCATTAGGTGATTTTCAACCCCACTTCCTGAGCATATTCAAATTTAAAAAAAAAAGAATCAAATCGGTCATCAAAACGTATAGCAGATGCAGGATAGAACTAACAAGAAATATTTTTTATCGCAATAATATTTTCTGCCAACCACAGTAATAAAACTGCTTCCTAGAAAATTCAAGTATTGTGTAACAGTCAATCTGTTGATGTTCACGATATAAATTTGAATTAATTTTATAATCGAGGCATCTTCAGCAGCACTTTGTAAATATTCTCATTAGTTTGGTCTATTCGAAGCTTTTGACTGATCAAAGGCCAAGAGTTAGAAGAAAATTTTCAACAGTCACGGAAGCGCCTCAACATCAACAGTATTCAGATCTTTCAATAAAATAAAAAATATACAGTATATACTGAGACATATGTTGAGTTAAACGAATAAATACCTTTCTAAGCGTGCGGTTTATTGGTTCGTTGCTCAGAAAAAAAAAAAAGTTCTCAACTCATTTTCTCGCTCTTTAAAGTTAAGAAGCAAACATTTTTCGTACCAAAGGAAGGATTCCACGCCTTTGAATGATCAAAAATCGAAGGTATGAAAATCCAAGAAATTCTCAAATTGCCACGGAAGCGTCTCTGCATTGAAAAAAAGTTGGTCAAATCCTTCAATAATAAATACATCGAGCGACAGATATTGAGTTACGTAAATAATGCCCCTTTTCCAATCACGTGTTTCCATAAATTAGTGCATATCCCAACATACTCCCTCGCTAGCTTTCATTTTAAACTTTTTAAAGGTGTCAAGCACTTATTTGCATTAGCAGAAAAGTATTCAAGGTCTTCAAATGATCAAATGCCAAGGCTTTGAAAATCACAGGAATCCTTACATTGTCGCTGAAGTGCCTCTGCATCAACAGTGCAGATCTTTAAAAAAAAATTATCCCGCGACTGATTTTTAGTAATACTTTACAAAGAATTTTCCGTTTCTAGTCACGCGCTGTCGAAAATCATATCCCAACTTATTTTCTCGCTCGATTTGATTTTTAAATTATTTTCAAATATTATTTTGTCTTACCAGAGACAATTTAAAGGCTTTTGAATCACCAAACTCCGAGAGTTTAAAAATCTCAGAAATTTTCGAAATCAAAATCCGCAGAGATCCGACTTCAAAGTACAACATGCCGAAATGGATGTTTCCAGAGGATAAGTTGCCAGCGTATTGTCGCGGAGGCGCATACGTATTAACAGCCGACTCGATATCGCCTCTTTGGCACCAAGTCCGCCAAGAACAATTCATTCTGCTCGAGGATCTTCTCGTCACAGGAATCGCGGCTCCAAAATGCGGCATTCAAAAGAAGCACAACTTGAACTTTGTCCCTCCAAAGTCCAAAGACGCCGGAAGAAAAGAGATTGAGGGTTTCTTTTCGTATTATGCTCAAAGTCCGGAGAATATGAAGCTTTTGTGGAAAGTGGTAACTCGCGATGATGCACTGGATTGAAGTACTTGATTAAGTACTAAGTGAGCTTAAAATTCCTAGTGGTCTCACTTGTCTTGTTGTGGTTACCCATCATAAAGCGCGCTTCTTTTGCAAAAAAAAAAAAAAGAAGAGCCGAGTAAGACGCATTCGTGTCGCATATACGGTGCAATTTTTTCGCAAATGCTTTTGAAAATTTAGTGAGTCCTACAATTGATATTAAACTCGCGAGTGAAGAGCACGATTGCCTCTCGCCAACTCAATCCTTTTCTTTATAATCGTCTACATTAAATACAATAAATTATCATCGCTACTTTCAGTTCGATGAGGACGAAAGTCACTTCGCAATCCTCATTTTTATTAGAAGTTCTGGAAAAAAAACACTAAAATATTTAGCTGGTAACTACCGCATAAACAAAATCAATGGACTCGTGAGATTTTTGTGTGAAATAATATAAATGCGTTTCAGGTTCGAAGGCAACAATCCGTTCAATTTCAGCATGACATCCTATGTTTGAATAAATCAGAATATGCAGAATGCGTTTAGCCAAAAATTTAAATTGTCAGAAAATACGCCTTTTCTGACAACAATAAAAATTGAGCTTCATAGCATCCACGGTTTTCGTAATTTCACCCCAGGAGTTTTGAAAATCCTGTCAAAAATCCCCATTGGATTAAACCACGAAAAATACGGTATCCGTATATTTTGACCATGTTCCCGAAGAAGCTCAAATAAATTCAAGGCCTTCGGGAAACCCAAGCATTCATCACGGCAAAATGCAACAATGCATCATTAAAAGATCAATAGCAACTGCGAAATTCCGTCCTTAATTATCCCACAATAGCGCGAAATCATAAAAGAAAGTGTTTGATGAAAAGTATTCAACATTCAGCCTCGTTTTGTTTTCTCATTCGTTAGACAAATCACTGCAGATCTCATTCGAGCACTAGCATTCGAGCACTATAGATGTTTGTGTAAAGTACATACAAAACTGTTGAATCGGCATTATTTCAAGAACGCACACAATAAATGAAACGATAAAAATATTTCACTGAAATTATGAGAAGGAATGTTTGTATGCGCTCGAACTTGAGGAGAACCCCCCCCCCCCCCCCCCCCCC